TGCTTATTACAGGGAAACCTGCTGATTCCTAATCCATCCAAAATGCAGATACTCATATAATATTGATAATAATATTATAATGTAATTCAATGTAATACTACTAATAATAAACTATAAGAATTATATTTTATATTACACGTAATATTACTAATAATATTACAGATAGCGTTATAGTACAATATAGTAATACATAATACTAATATTGTGCTGTGCTAATTATATAATATATTGTACACATACATTCATTTTACATGTAATATTACAAATAATATTGCAATATACTGGTGTAGTACAATATGGCTTCACCCATGTTGCTAATATTGTGCTATGCTAATAATATAATATATTGTATTTACATGTAACTTGTAAACCGCTCTGAGTCTCCTTTTGGGGTGAGAAGGGCGGTATATCAATGTAAATAAATAAAATAAATAAATAGGAGTCCCGTGTTGAGACCAAGGAAAGTCATAGTCCCACTCTGTTCTGCTTTGGTCAGGCCTCCCCTGGAATAACACAGGGGCTGACTGGCCATCTGTCGGGAGGGGTTTGATGGTGTATTTCTATATTACCGAATGGGGTTAGACTGGGTAGCCCTTGGGGGTCTCTTGCAGCTCCGAAACAGGCTGCTTTTTGGACACCACTTCCAAAAGTGCAATAATAAGGCTGCAAAACAGAAAGCCAGGCCTTCTTTTCTGCCGCCGCTCTCCTTGGAACAAAGGACAGGGTTGTCTCCACGCCCCAGCGCCATTTGAACACGTGACCGATACTGGGACAGGTGCTTTGGCCCCAGGCCAGACGTAGGCCGGTTTACTCCTCCCCGGGCCATTTTCGGAGTTCTCCGGCTGCATTTGCACTGCAGAATGGCACTTGAACTGCGACGGCTCAATATTAGGGAGTCCTGGGAAATGTAGTTTGCCCTCTTTGGCAGAGAAAGGGAGAGACCTTATCGAATGAGAACTTCCAGGATCTTAGAGCATTGAGCTTTGGCTGTTCATGTGGGGGCATGTGGTGGGGGGAAGGTCACCATTAGTCAGAGATGGCATCAAGGCTGGATGGCCATCTGTCGGGAGGGCTTGATAACCTTGCTATCATTCTACTGGAGCYTCCCCATGGTGCATGCACACCTTTGGCATGGAGGCAATCCTACAAAAGTCTTTCACCCCCAGAACTTGAGAGTCACCATTAGTCAGAGATGGCTTCAAGGCTGGATGGCCATCTGTCGGGAGAGCTTGATAACCTTGCTATCATTCTACTGGAGCCTCCCCGTGGTGCATGCGCACCTTTGGTATGGAAGTGTTCCTACAAAAGTCTTTCAGCCCCAGAACTTGAGGGTCACCATTAGTCAGAGATAGCATCAAGGCTGGATGGCCATCTATCGGGAGGGCTTGATAACCTTGCTATCATTCTACTGGAGCATGTACACCTTTGGTATGGAAACAATCCTACAAAAGTCTGACATTCTCAGCCCAAGAACTTTAGGGTTACCATTAGTCAGAGATGGCATCAAGGCTGGATGGCCATCTGTTGGGAGGGCTTGATCACCTTGCTATTATTCTACTGGATCCTCCCCATGTGCATGCACACCTTTGGTATGGAAACAATCCTACAAAAGTCTGACACTCTCAGCCCCAGAACTTTAGGGTCACCATTAGTCAGAGATGGCTTCAAGGCTGGATGGTCATCTGTTGGGAGGGCTTGATCACCTTGCTATCATTCTACTGGAGCCTCCCCGTGGTGCGTGCACACTTAGCAATGGGCTTTATCCATTAGACTGGAGCATGGCGCATGAGCCATTGCTTCCCTCTTGTGGCCACAGCCAGATCTGCACAAACATTGTAATTTAATTTTCCACTGTACGTATAAGAACTCAAAATCTCCCCAAAGTTGATTGACAAGGCCCCCAAAATGCTTCCTCTGCTTGATGTATGGAAAAACAACTTTTTTTTCATTTCCAACGTATTTCAGATTTGTTGTCCAAGGCTTTCATGGCCGGGATCAATGGATTTCTCTGAGATTATGGCCAAACCGCCCGGAAAACTCACAGCAACCCAGTATTCCAGACTTGCTCAGCTATCTAACTTGGTTGCTCGGCACCACCTAAGCCCACCTGAGAGATGGCCATCCAGCCTAAAGTCATCTCTGACGAATGGCTGCTACCTGTCCAGAGGATGGGCCAGAGATGTCACTGCCTTGGTCCTTTCATTGCTGGCTGCTACTTCCTGACAGATGTCAGGTGGTGCAATACCGGCTAAAGAGTATTATTTCTCCAGTGGTGTCAGGCATAGACATCCTGTGATCATGTGTCATGTCTCATTAAGAGCCACATCCATTGTTTTAGAGTGGTGAGATGTATTCCATGCTGGGCATGCGTACTCAGCAGCAGAGTAGCATAGAGCAAGGGCAGATGCCTTCACTATGTCTGGTTGTGATCCCCAGGTTGTGCCAGTCAGCTTTCATACGATATTGTTTCTAGCACCCACTTTTTGCTTGATATTCAGGCAGTGCTTCTTGTAGGTAGGAGCATGGTCCAGAGTGACTCTCAGGTATTTGGGTGCGCTGCAATGCTCCAGTGGGATTCCTTCCCAGGTGATCCTCAGAGCTCGGGATGCTTGTCTGTTCTTAAAATGCACACATCTGCATTTTAGATGGATTAGGAATCAGCTGTTTTTCCCTGTAATGGGCAGGAAGAGCAAACAAAGCTTCGGAGAGCTTCTGTTCAACCATTTCAAAGCTCTCTTCTTGAGCAGTGATGGCATGATCATCAACATAGATGAAACTTAGATGGATTAGAAATCAGCTGGTTTCCCTTGTAATAGGCAGTAAGAGCGCCTCAAGCTTGGGAGAGCTTCTGTTCAGCCATTTCAAAGCTCACTGGATGAGTGGTGATGGCACAATCATTAGCGTAGATGAAACTCTCTGTCCCTTCTTGCCACCCCTTCTAAACAATCCACGTCTATGAGCAATCCCCACGGAAATGTTCCCATTTTGAGGAATTCGTAGGGATGACGTCCGCCAAGACAGTTGGATGCCCTTCAGGTCAAAGCCAATGCCTTGTTCCTCATTGCCTCAATGAAGCTGTAAAACCAGGGAATGGGTTTTCAGGCAAGCGAGAAGAGCCCAGTGTTTACCCAGATCGTCCTTGGAGGGAGCGCCTCCTTGAACCCGGCTCCCTTGACTCACTCGGTCTCCAAAAGGCAATAAAGGCATATAGCTATAAAAGCCAGGTTGCCCTTCCCTCGGAGCAGCAGAGACCTTTCCCAGGGTGAGTCGTAGGAAATTTGGGGTCCGAATCGTGGTGTGACTCGGGTGCCAACGTTGTGACTCTTTTGTGCCGCAGGTCCTGACCGTAACGCATCTGAAATGGCGTTTGCAGGGATTCTTTGCCAAGCGTTGCTCTTCACCTCAATCATTTGGCCTTCGAGCATCACAGGTAAGCGATACGTGAACAGTATAGGATTGGGGCCGGAGGAAACTTCCTAAGTTGGAGGTCGCAAGGTGGGTGGGTCGGTGGTCTTTCCTCCCCTTCCTCTTCTCTTTCCAAGGCAGAAAGTGAAGGAACCACGGGAAACATTTGGATCCCAAAAGGTCAGGGTGAGATGGAGGAGGGGAGAGGAAAAAGTGTACCCCATTACACCCCGTCTTGCCTATTCCTGGCATAGAATCTTAGAGCTGGGAGAGAACCCCAAAGGCTATCTAGTCCGACCCTCTGCCATGCAGGAAGGCACAATCAAAGCACTCCCGATAGACAGTCTCTGCAGGAAAGCCTCCAGAGAAGGAGATGCCACCAAACTCCAAGAAAGCCTATGCCACTCTCCAACATGGGTTCTTCCTCATCTTT